CTCAGACGCCTCGGGCTCCAGCGCCCAGAGCAGCCCCATGGGCTCCAGCCCCGCGAAGCTGCCGCCCAGCGCCGGCGCGCGCGCCAGGTCCAGCTCGCCGCGGGCGTCGGCGCGGTAGCGCGCGTGGGCCCGGAAGCGCGCGCCCCTCTCGTCGCGCAGGGACGCGCGCAGCGTGACCGGCTGCCCGGGCGCCAGGCCGCGCACGGAGATGCGCACCGGCGTGTCCCAGCAGCAGCGGCCCGCGGGCTCCACGCGCAGCGTCGCCGCCATTCCGCCCGGGCGCAGGCAGCGGGCGGGCGTCTTTGCCTCCGCGGGCAGCGTTTGCGGGCGGAGCCCTGGGCCCTACTCCCATTGGTCGGGCATGGAGACACCCCAAGCCGTGCAAGGCCGCCTAGAGCTTGTACCCTGAACAGAAGAGAAAGGGTCTGCTGAAATGGGTTATTGAGTAACCCAGCAGTCTGACATGGAGAGTGTCGAAACAAAGGTGCAAAGACTACACCTTTGAGAACTGAGGGACTGAGAGGAACAGTTCCAAGACTCTGGACTTTGAAAAAGTCCAGAGCATGCAGTGGCATGCTCACGGCCACCGCAGCCTCGCACTGCTGGGCTCCAGTGATCCTTCCGCCTCAGCCACCCAAGGAGCTGAAACTACAGGCACATGCTACCATACCCGGCTAACTTTTTGATTTACTGTCAAGTTGAGGTCTTGCCAAGTTTCCCAGGCTGTTTTCAAACCTTCGGGCTCAGGCAATCCCCTCACCGTGGCCTCCCAGAGTGTGCAGTTATTCTTTTATTTATTTATTTTTGGGGGTTGGAGTCTCACTCTGTCGCCCAGACTGGAGTGCAGTGGCCGCTCCCGGCCACCGCAGCCTCGACCTGCTGGGCTCCGGCAATCCTTCTGCCTCAGCCTTCCAAGTAGCCGGAATTACAGGCATGCACTACCACACCCGGCTGATTTTTTAATTTATTGTAGAGATGAGGTCTCGCTGCCCAGGCGGATCTCGAACCCGCGGGCTCAGGTAATCCACTCACCTCAGCCTCCCAAAGGTGCGGGATTACAGGCTGAGCCACCGAGCCCGGCTCAGTTATTCTTAAGAACCACAAATGAGAAATCAGGGAGAACTGGGTCAGTCCACAGCCACCCAGAGAACTGTCCTGGAGTCCACCTCCAACCCACACATCCCTCTTAGCAAAGCTAGTCCATTTCGAAGTCCCACCGACCTCCCAGGGTCTGAAGCCTGAGGTTATCCAATCAGACTGGTGAGATACCATGACCGACACAGTTGCAGGGCAACACCACTGAGCCATGGCCAAAGTCCAGTTCACTAGGCTCAGGAGGACAACTATAACAGGCAGGCTAAGCCTTCATAGCAGTCACCTAAGCCAGGATCTGAGTAATCCAGGTAATAAGCTGCTAAGAAATCAGAGAAGGAGCCTTTGGGGGGCTTCTCCGACCACAGCTAGAGGGCCTGCTTCCTGGTCTCCTTGACCTGTCTCTAGTGTGCCTAAGGGTTTATCCACATGCAGCCAAAGGTGTTGGCCGTTGCATTCCGCTCCTCCCAGTTGGGTTAAAAGAAAGTTTAGAGCAATTCTGTTGTCTAACACAACCTTCCCAAGGAAGGAGCCTGCTCGGTTGCCAGGGCAGGAACAGAGGATGAAGCTGCATCCTCATGGCCAGGGACAGGTTTCTTATCACTGATTCCTGAGCACTGACTCCTATGTACAGCACTGAATCTCACACAGGACAACATAAGCCAGAGCCGTCACTACTTCCTGGTTGGTCCCTGTGAGCACGGTGTCCACCCTCAGGCTGCAGCCCAGTAGTGCATCCCCTCTCCAGGGTGACTTCTGGGGCTGCCCCGGCATGCCCAATATGCAGTGTCTCACCATCTGCCAGCTTCCCAGATATGACATTGTCCATCCCACATCTGGATCACTCCCAGACCACCCACAGAAAAAGATGCAGCCCTTGGAAGCTCACCGCACCTCTCACCCCCTTACTTGATTGTTTAGAGACCCATACACTGGTATGTAGGCAGTAGTGCTTACCAGCCAACACCCATGAGTGGCACAGTGGCATGAGCTCAGTCTCCCCATGCAACACTGCTCATGAGACCCCTACACAGGGAGCTAGCATCCATGCAGTCCTTGTTGTCATTGTTGCCACTGGAACACTTCACTTGTATAATCAAGGTAGCACAGTGCACCACAGAACCAGCCCACTAAGGTTTTGTGTGGTTGTGACATTTTGCCAGAGAAGTCTGCTAAGCAGCCAAAATGTCAATGCCTATCATGCACTCAGCACCTCTGGCTCCCTTCCATAAAGAGCTGCCAGATCCCCAAGGGTACCAGGGCTTGGGTTCTGTGGGTGTGCACTGAGGTGTTAGGAATGCTGGTGTGCATCCACTGGCAGCTCACGCCCATCAGTGGCAGAGGGAGACCCAGGGCAGCAGATCTCACCCATCACCAAGTTTCTTGCGGTGGCCACAGCTTGGAGCTAATGAAGGTATTGTACCTCCAGGCTGCTGCAGCATGTCCTGGTGGAAAAAGCAGGCTGGCAGGTTAGTACCCCACCACACCCCTCCTGGGGTCCATAGGTGCTCCCTGCCTAGTGGATAGAGGTTGGGCTGAGTGGGGTAGCAGCCTCGTCTCTCTGTCCCTGTCCCAAGCCCACTGCCTCTGTAGGCACCCCTTGTCCTTGTTGCTTGACCCAGACCTTGTGGCTTTGGTTATCAGACCAGGAAGGAAGACTGGGTCCTAGACAAACTTGACACATCTGATTATATCACCCAACCGACTAGAAGGATCAGATCTCCCCAGCTCCACGAGAGGGACTCTGGCGTCTGGTGCCCCCGGTCCTGCTTCCACCCCTCTGGAATCTCATGGAGGCAAAGCACCTGGGGGAAGCAAAGCTTCCATGAGAGCCAGGGACCCTTCTGGGTTGGCCTGAGCTACACATCAGTCCCAAGACGTGCATTCTAACAGGAAAAAGGAAAAAGAATTGCAGGGAAGGCCGGGCTCGGTGGCTCAGCCTGTAATCCCGTGCTTTGGGAGGCTGAGGTGAGTGGATTGCCGGAGCCCATGGGTTCGAGACCTGCCTGGGCAACTTGACGAGACCTCATCTCTACAATAAATCAAAAATTAGCTGGGCA